ATCTGCTATCCTAGATTTAATCCTGACTAACAGGGAAGAACTGGTTGATGAAGTGAATGTTGTGGGATCCTTGGGGAATAGTGACCATGTCAGCTTGGAATCTGACATAGAGAAGGATGTGAAACCAGGACATAGTAGGATTCGTATCCTGAACTTCAGGAAAGCTGATTTTAAAAAACTCAGAGAAATATTAGGTAGGATCCCGTGGCTGGAAATGCTGAGGGGGAAATCTGCACAGGAAGGATGGGTGATGCTGAAAAATGAAGTGCTTAAGGCACAATCGCAAACTGTTCCAGTAAGAAAGAAAGGTGGGAGACGGGTAATGAAGCCGAGGTGGCTGAACAAGGAACTCTCTGAAGAGCTGAGACTAAAAAGGGAAATGTACAGGGAATGGAAGGAGGGTCAGATTACTGAGGGTGAATACAAGAAGCAGGCTTGAATCTGTAGGGATGGTGTCAGAAAGGCTAAAGCGCAGATGGCGCTGAGGCTTGCAAGGGATGCTAAAAACAACAAGAAAAAATTCTATGCCTATATTCGGAGCAAAAAGAAGAACAGGGATGGAGTAAGCTCATTGCTAGGGGAAGATGGTCAAGCCTTAACAAGGGATGAAGACAAAGTGGAATTACTCAACTCTCACTTTGCATCAGTCTTTAACTGTAAGACGAGCTGTATGCAAACTGAAGAATACAGGGCATATAAAGGAAGGAGAAACTGCCAGTCAAGAGTAAGTAAGGAAATGGTTAGAGAGTATCTAGCTGCCTTAAATACTTTCAAATCTCCAGGACCAGATGGCTTGCATCCCAGGGTGCTAAAAGAAGTTGCAGATGTTATTTCAGAGCCTCTAGCTCTAATCTTTGAGATGTCCTGGAGTACTGGTGTTGTGTCGGAAGACGGGAAAAGAGCAAATGTTGTCCCGGTCTTCAAGAAGAGAAAAAGACAGACCTTTCGGGTATGTTGTAGATATGTAGGGCTATCTTTCAGCTATGCTCCTGCAAGAGTGCAGGGGGTTGGACTAGATGATCTGCAAGGTACCTTCCAACTCTAACATTCTATGATTCATTGGCACAGGAATGGATGGAAATTACTTTGGTAGGCTGTTGAGGAGCTTCCCACTTGTAAAGTCATATTAAGCAGGGGTACACAGAGCAAAGGGACTGCTTTATACAATACAGCAGGGGCTGTAACTCAGTGGTACAGCACATGCTTCACATGTAGGAGGTCCCAGGTTCAGTCCCCAGCTGAAAGGATCAGGTAGTAGGTGGTGTGAAAGACCTCCACCCATGATTCCAGACACCTTGTCAAAGTAGGCAGTACTGACCTTGATAGACCAGTGGTCTGAATCAGAATAAGGCAGCTTCATTTAGTTTTTTTGAAATGTTTGATTAGGGGGTTATAATAACTATGTGCCTCTTATTACATGCATTGGCTTGATCTGTGTGGCTCCATGTTTACCACTGCACACGCCTGGTGGCTGTTGACATTAAGACTCTCCACACACCTGGGCCAGTACACGCTTCCAAAAGTACTGCCCACAAAAACAGTTCCTGGCAATGCCCACATGGAGATTGTAATACATGAAGCTGCCTCTAGTTCTCATTTACAACTGGTAAAGACAGACAGACATTCCATATGCAATGGAAGAGTTTGGCACATACATTTTCTGCCCTGAAAACAAAAACTTCTGATTGTGGGAGCTCATACCATTTTCACCATTTTGAAATAAAAATATTATGTCTGTCTTTTCCCTAAAACACAGCTACAAAAGGACATCTTGGTTCACCACCCAAGTTTAATTAATGAATTAACCAAACCATCCTCCTTATTAGGGGTATATATATTCTTCTATTACAGTGACTACCAGTATTATTTAGTGCTAATTCATATCTAAAATTATAGCTGACATCTCTCTGCCCTTAACTCTGAACACCATATGGAACATTTATGTTAGAATTAGCTACAAAAACAGCACAATTCACTTTATACCCAGAAAGAAACTAGTGCAGATAAATAGCAATTCCTCTTGCAAGTGAGAGTATTTTTTTAGTATGTGGTAATGCCAATTCTAAAAAAAAAAAAGAATGATGTTTTAACAAGAACACTAAACTTATCTACGTATTTTCCCCCCAAAAAAGTCTAACCATATTCATTTTTACAGTGATAAAAAATCACAGATCTGAAACAAATTATTTGGTCATAATACTATGAGGGAGGATGATGGCTGACAACAGAAAGTGGGCAAAGGAGGAGCCCTTAACGTTACATGAACGAGGCCAATTTACAGGATAAATCTTCATAATAAAATGGATGCATGCCATATTATTTGCAAATGGGACTTTGTGGTAAGTTTCTAATGGCTTCTCAACCTAAACACTATCAAGATGATTGGTATTGCAATGCACTTGTACACCTTTTCTTGCTGCAGTGCCAGGATGAGGAAAGCCACAAATTCTCATGCCATGTTCTGGAAATGCTTTGAGTCAGAAGTTGCAGCTTAACATACCAATCACAAGCTTTCCATAAGAGTACATAAGTTGTTGTTTCATACTCAAACTATGTCCCCCATCATCAAACTACTAAGCATATACATTATAATTGAGCTACAGTCCTTCTCCTATTAGACTTCTATTGCTACTGCTGGTATCTTTGAAGTTTTTTAACAAGGTTACCCTACAGGTGTACACTGCAGTCAGACTAGATAGCTGAGAAAGGCTGCTGATTCAATTGTACAAAGAATATGTATTTACCAAGGACCAACTAAGAACATGACCTCATTCAGGTTTATGGATCACTGGATAACTGAAAACGATCTGTCCTCTGCTTCTCCATGCTGCCATAACGTCACAGATTTGATGGAAACCAAGAAAGATTTTAGGGTAGGGACTATAGCTCAGTGGAAGATTACCTGCATAGCACACAGAAGATCCCAGGTTCCTAGCATCACTAGTTAAATGGACCAGCAGCAGGCAATGTGAAAGACTTCTGCCTGAAAACCTGGAGAGCTGCCAGTTTGAGTAGGCAATAGTGACCTTGATGGACCAATGGTCAGACTCAGTATAAGGCAGCTTCGTGTCTGCTCAATGAAAAGTAAATTTGGAACAACAATAAGAATTATTTCCTCACCTGCCACGTCAAATTCAATCTCTAGCACAACCTTGTTAGTAAGTGCTGCATCCCGCAAGAGCTGGTTGGCTTCTTCCATCGTCCCATCTTCTGTTGCAATACTGTTGATGGAAAGTACTCTGTCTCCAACTTGTAGAAGGCCACACCTACAGAGTCCAGAATGGAGGAAAGGCCACACGAAAGGTCAAGAAAGAGGGCCCACAAAAACCATGACATTTCAAGGAAGCTAGTCAAGGATGAGCAATCCAGATATACACAACACAGAGAAATAACCCAACATGGAAGATGTGCTGATGGTAGATCTTGACATGTTGTCCATAACTTTCTGAAAGTCAGTCTTAGTGAAATCATCTCCCATTGTAGAGAAGAGATTTTGTGCCTTCCACAAAAAGCAATGTTAATTTATAACAGAGACCAAAACGTCATAAAAGTAGGAAACTGACCACTGCCCTTGCTTTGAAACCGTGCTGAATACTACAAAAGTCACATTAAGCTAGCCTATAGCCACCTGTAGCCAGACTAATGACAATGAAAGTTACAAACTTCTCTGATCAATAGAGAGGTTAATACAGAAACTACTACTCAATGGGTTCAGTTCAATGTCTCAGCAGATTGGGTAATCATTTATCCCTTGTAATTTCCCTTCTTGAAGCCACAATATACATGCAGGGGTAGAATGGTTAAGTTAAAATGCCCTTTGAACAAGCCAAGCTGAGCTATAGAAGCCAACGACAGGCTCACCTATTAACTCCTCCCACAGGCTGGAGGCCATGAGGAGACAACTGGTGAGCTAACCATCATCACTGCTGTTGAAGGGTCCAAGCCAAGTGGCCCCTGGAGCACTGGCAGAATCGCTGAAGCTTGGCTGTGCTTACACCTGACCACCAGCAACCTTCCAGGGCAGAAGCCTATCAGGAAATTTCCCTGTAAGTTAATGGTCAGTTTGCCCCCCAGCCAGTCACAATGCTGAGCAGGATGGATGCCCCTGCTCTCCATTTTTATATTTTGCCCAAAGCACCAAAATCTCTAGACCAGCCTTATTATGGAAGACCTTTCCAGATGATCACTCTTATTTGTTCCACAAGAGCCAGTAGATTGGACAGGGCAGACAACTGTTCTATGCTTGCCTGTCCCATTTAGGGCTAAAATTATGGGTGTTGATAGATTTTTTTTTTCTTCACAAAAAGTAGTGGGCACAAACATTGCTTCAGGCATTTTTCTGCCTGCCAAACTCCTATATTAGAAGTGAGCTGGGCTGGGGAGAAAACTGCCTGCAGCAATGCAGCCTGTGAGGTAGGGCAAAAGAAGGGAAGTATCAGCTACCTTTACAGACATGGTCTCTGTGTGCTGTAGCGCCTCAGTTAGGCAAACATGTGAACAAACATAGCATACCTGTTATGGCATGTTTGGCCCCAACAGACAACAAGGCTGTTGATTTTCAATTAAAATATTCCGCCTTCAATCAAAAAAGTCTGGCGATCACAAACAATACAGGCAGCCATTTTCCCTCCCCCGAGTTGACTGGTACTACATGTGGACTAGATACTATGGCTTGGATCCCAGGCAGCATGGGAGGAGTAATGCTATGGGAAGGCAACTTCTCTGCCTCCTCCTCTCTCTGCAGCCAAAATTGTTCCTGTAGGTCAGTGGATCCCAGGAACTGTATGGGGAAAGAACACGGGAGGGGATTGAAAGAAGTTGCTATGCCATTGGCGAAATTGCTGTTATACCAAGAGAATGCAGCAGTTTTGGATCCAAGCTGAGAACTGGCACCCTCTGATTGTCTTTCCAAGCTGTAAACTAGCACAGTCCTTAGGTTTCCTGTATGTATTTTTAAAAGGGCAACATTCCCCTTTCCCCAAATTCCTTCCTCTTCGGTTGTTATTAGATTAGGAATGGCTGGGAAAGAGGGTGAGGAACTATAGAAGCATCTTTTGCAATTGCTTCTGAATACGGGACCATGACAGAGCTATTACTTTACCGTTCATTTCCTGGACCAGTAAGAAAAAGTCTTGGCAAGTGTTTTATGCTTTCTTCCAAAGTTTTATACTTGCTTTGACTAGATAGCATTTCATCTATCTTATTAGTGGACTGGACAGAGTTAATAGAATGTTTCACCACCCAGGTTTATAAAATTTTGTGAAGTGAAACTATAATTGGCTGTTCCTCACTGAAGATAGGTGCCATGGTCAACTTAAAAAAAATAAATTCAACACATCGTGGCATGGTGAAGAAGGCCAGTATAAATTTTTTAGTGTGCTATAGTGGGCTACCATTGGAAAGCTTTTTCTCTGTACAGAAAATGTGGAAATTATTATTTCACTATAACAATAATTATATGGGCATGTCTGCTTGGACGTTCTGTGCAAACCCCATTGGAATGAATGTGTGAGTACATTTGCTATGGCTAGGGGCACAATCTGAAAATGTAATAACCCCCCCCCCCAAAAAAAAAGTATGAAATTGTCAGAAAATTACTAGGCCTATAAAAAACAATGATCAAACTTTTGATTGTTTTTATTTCAATAATTTAACTTTCTCATGCTCTGTCTTTTAGTAAAACTACCACAAAATTCAAACTATTCAGTTTAAGGACACAGTGTGAGTCATTTCAGCAGTGAAACACAATTGTTTTGATCTAGTGAACTCTCAAAATATTTAGTCCACACGTGATAGAAGTTACGTGTGAAACAAAGAATGATAGCTGTGTTGAATGGAAACTGTTCATTCACTAGTTTGGTGAGGTGGTTAAGTACGTGGACTCTAATCTGGGAGAACTGGGTTTGATTCCCCACTCCTCCGCTTCCAGCTGCTGGATAACCTTGGGCAAGCCATAGTTCTGTCAGAACTGTCCTTGAAAGAGCAGTTCTCTCAAAGCTCTCTCAGCTCCACCTACCTCACAGGGTGTCCGTTACGAGGACGGGAAGGGATAGGCTTGCCAAGTCCCCCCGGGGGGGGGAACCCCCACCCCAGAGGCCCATTACCCGCCCCCGGCGGATCGGGCCCTGGGGGAACCCCACCCCCAAAGCACGCGACGTGCCCAGCGTCAGCACATCACCCGGAAGTGACGCAGTCACGTCGGGCGCGTTGGGGGTGGGGCTGCGGTCATCCGAGGGAAAACTATGGTTTTCCCTCAAATGATTGTGGCCCTGCCCCTGGCTTGCCCGATGTGGTTGCATCACTTCCGGGTGACGTGGTTGTGGCGTGGGCGTGCACACTCCCGGAGCAGCACTAGAGTCCCCCGCTGTACATACAGCGGGGACTTGGCAACCCTAGGAAGGGAATGGAGTTTGTAAGTCGCTCTGAGACTCCAAGTGAAGGGCAGTGTATAAATCTGTTATTATTATTATTCATTATAGAGAATTAAAAATGAAAGATAGGAGATGGGGGCTCCACCCCTCAAAAATTATTTTTATTTTTATTTACATTCCATTTGTATACCGCTCACCCCCTAAGGGCTCTGAGCGGTTTACATTACATTATACAATACATTATACAATACATCCTACCTAAGGGCTACACATACAATGAAGGGGGAGTGACTGACCTAACAGGCACCCTCTGGCGAAGTCTTGTTGTTCTTAGTCTTTCTGTGGAAGGTATTTTCAATCCGCCGGCGGCGACTTCCTGGCGCAGGTCTTCTGGCACAGATCTTCCTTCAGGTGCTGCAATTCCACGGGCTCGGGCGAAGGGCGCGTCAGCGCATGCTCCTGCTGCAGCCTCTGTCCAATAGGCTCCTGCACTGCCCCGCCTCTGTGCTCCGTCAGCCCAGCCCTGCTCACTCGCTCGCTCGACTCGCCACCATGTTCTCCGCTGCTGCTGCCGCCCCGTCACTACACCACCATGAAGGTCGGGTGCCTCCCCGCTCTAAGAGCAGGTACCCATTTTGTCTACTTGCCCTTTAACGGGCTTTCGAGCCGCTGGGTGGACAGGAGCTGGGACATGGTCCGGGAGCTCACCCCGGCCACAGTGGGGCTCGAACAGCCGAAGCTGTTCGGCCAGATGGAATTGCAGGCTTCATTTACTGCCTGCACCACACAACAACAGGATTCTGCTGCACTGTAGGGCTGGTAGCTGTGATGATGTCTTACGTTTTTCCTCTTCAAGCGCTCCAGGATGAACTGCTTCATATTTTGTGCATTACTTGTGCCCAGCACTTGAACACAGAATGATAAAAGTTGTATATAGTTCTGTGATCCTGTGTTTGGAATGAAGCCATTGAGGTTCCAATGTTACGGGGGAGAGGGGCTACTGAAGTCTTCCCTCTAACCTCATTTTCCCTCAAAAAAAATCACCACCTCTATCCTGTGGGATTCCCATGTTTCAGTGGGAAAATAAGGTGAGGAAGCAAGAGTTAAATAGCCCATCTCTTCCTGCACTGATCTCCACTTCTGGGCTCAACTACATCTTACAATTTCTCTTGCTTGTTTTGAACAACTTTATTTTTCTTTCACAAAGTTAGCTACCAGGATTGTTTTGTGAATTCAGTGGAGATGACAGATAAACTTTAAACTTTTTCTCCCCTGCTGTTCTCCCCTGCTGTTCTCTCACTGGAGAAAAAGGCACCTTGAGCTGCTTTTACCCCCACTGGTGACAAGGTACACGTACTCATAGCTATTTTCCCCAGTGGGGATAAAAGCGGTTTGAGGGTGGCTTTTTCCATTGATAAGATGGCAGGGGAGGAAAGGATTACAGTATCCATCTCTCCCCTCTCCATATAAACATTTACCCATGAATATCCAACACAGCATGTTGCATTCTTTGAATTTATATCATATGTCTCCATGTGCTGCAAAAGATGCTTAAGGATTCCCACCAGTACATGAGAGAAGAGGAAAAACCTCTTCCAGAAAACCTGATGGAAGTTCTGGTATTAGAATACTTGTTTTAAAAAGCGATGCTCAGTTCATTTTCGGCATAATATCAATTGACTGCAAGATTTAGAATCTATTCATAAATAAAATAAAATGTAAAACACTGAAATATTCACAAAGATTAGAGACATGTGGGATTTTTTTTCAAGCAGTTGAAAGTGCTAGGACAGGCATTTCCCATGGGAGAATTCAACTCCACCTGATTCTGCAGAGCTACTGACCCGACTCTGGCATAGTTCATTTGACTAAGAAGCTTTGCCACAGACCATTAT